CCAGCCTCTCCGCCGAGAACAGCCTGCTGGTGAGTGGAGGCCACGGCCAGGCGCCGCGTGGGCACGAGGTTCGGGTTGCTCCATGGGGAGGGAGACCAGACCTGGGCAAAGTGGGCATCAGTCACCGCACGCTTGGCTCAGACAGGGGCTGAGACCCAGGATCCGGCGAGGGCCAGGAGGGAAGGGGAGCCCGAGAGTTTTGGGCACCTCCGCTGCCTTCCCCCTGCCCTGCCCAGCCAGCAGCCTGAGCAGGCTCTTTCCTCATTGTGCTGAGCAAGGTCAGGACCCTTTGCCACCCTTTCTGCCATCTTCCCCCAGCACGACTTCCCACAAGAGACTTTTTCCGCAGGCGCCTGTGAAAGCTGGCAGAAAAGCAAGCGCCAGGCGAGGCGATGGGGAAGAGGCCAGGGGAAGTTGCTCTTGTTTCCTCTTTAGATGGAAAAGCAGAAACACTGATTCCCTCGCTGCCTTGGGGCAAGCAGCGCAGCGCTGCGCCCTGTTCCCACTCGGGCATGGTGCCCGAGGACACTGCAGGGCACCCAGGACAGGGCCAGGCGGCCCAGCCTGTTTCACCTGCTCCCGCGTCTTCAGGTGCTCTTGGGCTGCTGCAGCTCTGTGATGGCTAGTTGGGAAACTGGGGGGAGATGCTTCCCTTCTTGTCTCCTCACCAGAGCTCAAGGAGCACCATCCTCTTGGAAGCCCTGCCATGTGGGATGCCACCCCTGGCCATGCACCTGGAACCAAGTCACCCACGACGTTCTCCAGGCTTCTGAGCTTCACAGGAGCCTGTTCAGCTACTCAGCTCCTTACACGGGACCCTGACTGGCCACAAGGCCCTTGCCCAGCCCCGAGCTTGGCATCTGCCAGCTTAGGCCCAGCTCAGGAGCCCCTGGGCCAGCCGCAGCTCAAGGCTGCAGCCCCAAAACTTCAGTTCCTTCTGTTGCTGCCATCCGGCTGCCCTCCTGCCACCACCCAGTGCTTGGCACGCTCCAGCCTCAAGGCTTGGATGGAGGGACCAGCTCCAAGGAACGGATGGAGTTGGGACTCTCTGCATGGTGTGATGGACACTGGCACCCTGACTCTGGTACTGGGATCTGCTCCAGGCAGAGTCACCTCAATCCTGCTGGGCATCCAGCAGTGCAAGGGCAAGCACCCTGCTCCTGCTGGCACTGCCCACATCCTGCTTCTTCCACATGCCTTTGGAAGAAGGTCAGCCCTCACATCACCTCCCAAGGGATTTTCCTTTTCCCATTTCCCAGCCTAAACTCAGAGTACTTTCGTATCTCCTATTGTCACCATGATTTAGAAAAGATCAGAAGAAGGTGGGAAAGCATCTGAGAAGATGTCAGCTCAGGTTGATTTCTCCCTTCAAAATGCCCTGGAAAATCTGATCACTTTATTTGCTCCACTGAACATTTGTTTTATACGATCAAATTCAAAATATGTTTTAGATTATTTTCTTGCTATAAAAAAATAAATTCAGTGTGACCTGAACTCTGGGGACTTTACCCTTCACTAGACACCTGAATTTTAGCAAAACATCTACCGTATCAACTCTCTTCAAATCTTACTCTTAAAAATCAGACATGACCTTTTGATTGAAAAGAAGCAAATACACCAATGAAAAAAAAAAAGCAAGTGGCAGTCAAGGGACCTCATAGGGACAGCAAAGAAAATAACTGGAAGGATCAGTTGACCTGACATTTTTGCTCATGTGAAAAGACAGCCACACATCTGGCCGTGACTTTGAGAGCAAGCCACTGGCAAGCTGCAGCTTATCAAAATGGATGGATAACAAAGACAAAGGGATTAAGAGCACACAGAATAAATAGAAAGAGAGGAGAAGAAAAAAAAGGTTGGCTTGCAAACACAAAAAACTCCTTTGCTGCTTTTTTCCCCATTACCCTTCAACTCGTTCCTCAATGTCAAGAGAGAAAGGACAGTAGCAAAGCTCTCAGGGTAGGTAGCACGGCAGGGCTCTGCAGATCCGGAGCGATGTGCTGAGCATCAGAACACCAGGGAAATAAACTAAAAAAGACTGAAGCCCCAAGAGAGAAAGCCCCGGTTCAAGGGACACTACAGGCCCCCATGGCCTGTCTTCCTGGCTGCATCGTGCAGCCCGCAGGGTCAAAAGCTGCAAAGGTGGAGAGAACAACACGCTGCAAAGGAAGAGCAACCACATAGGACAACCCAGGAACGGGGACTTTTTGTGACTTTTGGGGGACCACAAAGTCACATTAATAACAAGAAATATCAGAAAAAAAACCCAAAGCTTCAGTGAATGGAGAGGAGATGAGAGGAAGGGGATGTTTAATGGTTGGGTCAGATATGTAAGAACTGGAAAAGCCCCCCACCATTCCCAGACACAGCAGCTCTTGCAGGGTTGGCGACCTGGCCACCTCTAACAGCCCCGGTGCATCACTAGAGTAAGGGAGAGGGCTTCACCTCAAACCTTCCCATCTGTTTTCCAGCGTAGGAGCTGCTTCCCCGAGACCGAGGAGAAGGTTAAGCACCTGAAGAGGAAGAACGCCGAGCTGGCCGTGATCGCCAAGCGCCTGGAGGAGAGAGCCCGCAAGCTGCAGGAGGCAAACCTCAAAGTCGTAAGTGACGCACCAGGCCGCGCTGGGCGAGCACCTCAGTGCGAGGGCTTCCCCTTGCTGCTTGTCCTGGGAGCCCCCTCGCCGTCAGGGGACACAAACCCTTTCCAGAAGAGGAAAGGCCGCAGTGTCTGGGGTGGTCAGGAGGAGTACAGGCACCGGCACAACACACTGCCTCGGTCCCCTTGCTGCGGCTGCAGCAGCCCTGCAGATATCACGAGACCAGTTTTATGCAGAATTATTTTATGGAGACAGAAAGCTGTTTTCTTTGCCCCCTCCACAAGCCAAGCAAGCCTGCACATACTTGGTACATCAGCAGCAGTAAAAGCTTCACAAAACCCAGCAAGTCTGCCAGGAAGAGAAATTACTGGCTTCTTCCTCTCATGCTTGGAGAGCTGGTTTGGAGCAATTTCCTCCTGCCTGGTTTCTTGCTGTAAATGTGCCCACCTACCCTAAGGTAATATTTAAGGTAATTAGCTTAGCTTTTCCTGTGCTGGTTGTGAAAATATTTCATCCAACTCCAGCAAAAAGAAACAGGAAGTGTTTGAATACGAAAAAGACTGGGGTGAGGCAAAACAGGAAGGAGTGCAATACTTTCCTATGCTCCATTCATACCTCACTTGCATTTGTGTGCAAACCACATGTTTTGTCTTTCTGCAACCAAACTGCAGCTTGTTACGAAACCTGCAGCTTCTGGCACAGCACAGGAGCGCCGGGAGAAGGCTGTTAAATGTGGGAGCTTGCAAAGAAGCATTTGAATGAGCTTCCTAAAGGTGGCTTGTAGCAGAGAAAGAGAAACTCTTTCTGTTGGAGAAAGACCAAGGATTGTGGTGGGAATGCTAATGCCTTAGGATTAGGAAGGAAATAGGGAGAATTTGGCCAAAGAGAAGAATTTTCCTGGCATTGCCTCGTCTCCGTCCCTGGGCACTGAGCTGCCCGTCTGTCCCTGGGTTTTGGTCCTTGCAGGAGAGTGGTTGCTGCCAGATGAATTTGTCAGATACTGTGTTAAGAGAAATTATTTGATATATGTCCACTAGCAGTACAGGGCTCCAACAACTGCACAAATACTGTTTTTATTTATTTTCTTTCTGAACAAGACCCAGGGATGGTCACTGTTTAATAGTGTGAGCACCAGGAGGGTTTTGCTGCTGGGTCACTCACCTAGAGAAACAGCCCAGGCCTCCTTGCAGCAGCAGATACCTCCATGGTGGTGTCTCATGGGAGGTGGATCCAGATGTCCCTGGATGCAGGGCAAGCCCTGGTACCTGGGTCCTTCAGAGCCATCTATGCATCTTCCACCCATCAGTGCCTACCCAAGACCCTGCAGAAATCCCCATGTCTCTTCCTGCTTTGACCAGCTCCAGTTTTGCTCCTGTGTTGATCTTTGCAGTCATCCTCTTCTCTTTGCTGTCTTCTCTAGTTGTTCTGCCCTCATCCTGCTTTCATCTCCTGTTCCCACCTGCTTTTGCTCTTCTTGTGCTGAATGGCCCCATCTGCTGAGGACCTTCTCTTTCTTGCCTCTTTTCTAATCCACTTTTCCAAGCAGCCCTTCCTTCCTCCCACTTTTCTGTGTCTGTGTTGTGTTCCTCTGTCTGCTTGCCTGTCCTTTCTGCCTAGGCTGTGGTTCTTGATGGTGTTCTCTGCCTGATGGCAGTTGAAGCCATGGTCAATAAAACACCAACACATGTGGCTTTCCTCCTTGCTGCTCTCTCCGGTGCAGGTAACAGCTCCGGTGCCTCTGAAGGGTTCCAGTCTGGAGCTGTGTAAAAAAGCATTCGCCCGGCAGCGTGCCAAAGACCTGACGGAGCAAGCCAGTGCCCTCCTGGCCAAAGACAAGCAGATCGAAGCTCTGCAGCAGGAGTGTCGGGAACTGCAGGCTCAACTCATTGCAGGGAAGGTGAGCAACTTTCTGGGACATCACTCGAGGACTGAGGGCGAACGGGGGAACACCAGCTGTGGGGATCAGGCTTGAACAAATGGGGTGAGGCCAATTAGTCCTAAGAGGAGAGCAAAAGGAGAGTGCCTTCAATGTGTGAGCTGGGACAGGGAAAACTAGGAGAGTGTGTGGCAGAGAAAGTGGCTGGATCTCTCCAGAACAGCCTGTGGGGGGATACCACAGTTTCACCCTACAAATTCATAGATCCAAGCTGCCATTTTCAGGAGAAACTAAGACCCTTCCTGTGGCTAAGAAGCCGGTGTTAGTGAGTGTTGCTCTCTGTATAGAGGCGCCCTGGTGATCCCTTCTGGCATTAAACCATACGAGAAAATTATCCAGGCCAGGATGTGCCATCGAGAAGAAATGTCCTTCCTTGATTGCTCACCACAGACCCTGCAGAAGAGGCCTTAGGACCCTTCCAAAATGCTCTAATATTCATACCAGGGCATGTTCAACCTGAATCTGCCAGGGATAGGACAGTGACAAATTGTAGAGGATCCTGACAAAGGTGGGTGAGAAAGATTTGTTACAGCCTGAAGAAAGACATGGGACAGTCTTTGGGTTGATGAATTCAGCTGTTGCCTTGCTAGGTCATGGGTGACCACCTCTAACTGAGAAGGTGGGACATGTCCTGGTTTATATAACCTGCCAAGGCAACAAAACCAGAGGACATTTATACATGAGGCAGGGAATCTGCAAAGAGTACTGGAGATGAAAACAGTCTGTCTGTTCTTGTTTTTCTCATTTCTCTATTGAGCAGGCTGTGCATAAAATTTTGATTTTCAGCTAGTTAAAACTGAACATCCACTTAACCTGTCTGCAACATGCTAAAAACATTATGTCAATTAGGGGCTTTCTGTGCAGGGATGTTATGTGTGTGTTCAGAATTTGTAACCAAATCATTTTTAACCTAGTGTAGTTAACTCAGCACACATATTTTAATAGCTAGTGAATGGATCTATTGAGTCCCCCTTCCAGTGGCAGGACATCCTGCACATCTGAGTGCAAAGTCATTAGCCTTGCAGTGCAAAGTCAGGGCTCTAAGGATGGCATAAAATGATTTCCTGAGACTCCTGCTCTAGTGCTGGGCTTCCAACTAAGCTCCAGTGAAAACCAGGCTGCAATTTCTTGCCAAGAAGTAGTTCTGACACTTTTTGTGGATGATGAGACAGGAGCTAATGATGGACTGGAAGCTAGAAGAGGGATGAGTATGATCAGGGGTTTGGCTGTGAAAAACACGTATCTGCAGCCCTTGGTGCAGGCTCCTCCACGTCCCCGAAGTGCTGGAGGCAGCAGGGGCCGGGCACAGCTGGTGTCACAGCTTCTTCAGCTGGCAATGGGCAAGCTGGGCAATGCAGGGCACAGCACGGCAGCTGCAGGGAACATGTATAATAGAAACTGAGAGGGGAAAACTGAGCTTTTCTCTGCTCCCTTGTTCTCCGCGGAACAAGCCTCCTTTGGAGGCTGCCTGTTGGGAATAGCTGCCTTTTTTTTGGTGGCTGAAGGGGGATTTTGTATAGAACCATGGGCAATTTATTTTTATAAGGAACTATTACCCTGATACCCCAGACATGGGTCTGGCACAGGAGAAGCCTCAACTCCTGCCTTTTGAATCTTTAATCAGCTCCCATTAATGGTACCTCATTTTCCCTCTTACCATAACTGCACGTTCTTCTGGATTAACTGTATCATATTTAGAAGCACGTACTATTTTAGGGCCAATCAGAAGTGAGCAGGAAAGGTGATTAAATTTGTCCTGGATATGAATTATGTGTTGAATTCACTGGCTTATGAGCTTTCCAGGGGAACAAGCAATGTCTCCTCCAGCAGTGTATTTGTAAAGACAGGTTTTCATAACCCGCTTTTATGAACATGCAGGTACGTGTTTTTCTTGTTTTTTTTTTTTTTCCTTCTTTTCAGCATCCTAAAAAATGAAAGCCTTTGAAGACTTAAAACAAACCTGTGGTGTATCTCACTATTTTTGTGAGAGTAAAACTACACTGGTTTCCTTCTCAAACTGCTAGTCTTGGGTCCAGAATAGGCAGGAACCATCAATTGCACAAAAGATGGGAGTCCAAACATACCGCCCTATTTGAAGAAGTTAGAAATGAAGAATTAGAAGGAGAGAAAAAAAAAGGGGGAGGTAGAAAAGAAAAACAAATCTGGCATTAAAAGTGAATTAGCCTGAGAGAGCCTTCATGCTTCCTAGCATTTTAAAATCCAAACATATAGAAACAAATAGGGCTCCAGGGAACGTCAGCAGTCCAACCAAGGAAGTCAAGCAGCTGCAGCGCTGGGAAATGACATACTGTTATCCTGACGCGCTCTCTGCTGGCAAGAGCACAGGCACAGGAGATGGGCCCTCTCCAGCACGTGTGTGCTCCGAGGTGCTTAATGGGTGATGATATCCGTGACAGATATTTGTGACAGATATCATCGCCCATTCACACACTGGGGCAGGTTTTGAGGCTTTGGAGACCCAAAGAACGGAATCTTTGGGGGCCATGGTACAGCCGGGCTCGTTTTTTGGGTTCTTCGGTTACGCTTTCATAGAGGGTGTATTAAATTGCTGCCCCGCTCGGCGCTTTCGGAGCTCGGACGCGACTTAATGCGCCGTTTTCCGCGTCTCCCGCAGGCCGACGCCGGCTGCCTCCACGTCCCCGACTTCGACCGCCTGCTGCGGGAGTCGCAGAAGGAGGTGCTGCGCCTGCAGCG